CCGCCGACCAGAGGAGGAAGCAACTTGAGGAAGAAAGCTAAGGGGCAGGGGTCTTTCACTAAAAGCAGCTTTGTATAGCTCAGAGTGTGGCTCAATGTTGAGCACTTGCTTAGGACATGTGAGACGCTGGACTCCATCCCTCATACCAAAATAAATAATAAAAATTAGCTCGTAGGCAAAAGTTAAAATGTCAGCTAAATGCTTGGCCAAAACATCTTTTTTGAGATAGATAATCTAAATTGCAACAGAGAACCCGCTAATGATTCCCAAATAGAATGTGCTTCCTTTCTACTGGGGTTAGAGGTTCAGAGTGCCAGGATCTTTTTTGTTCCTTGTGTGCCCTGCATGACTGGCCCAGTTCTTTGCTCATAGTGGCTCCCGTCAAACTTCAATTCTTTAACAGACCTGACATCTAACTGGGCATATTCTATCTGGCTGCCAGTGGAACTTGGAAATCTTTTCTTTCTTTCTTTCTTTCTTTCTTTCTTTCTTTCTTTCTTTCTTTCTCTTTCTTTCTTTTTCTTTTTTTCTTTCTTTTTTCCCTTCCTTCCTCCTTCCTTCCTTCCTTCCTTCCTTCCTTCCTTCCTTCCTTCCTTCCTTCCTTTTTTTTCCTTCAAGACACAGTTTCTCTGTGTAGCCTTGGCTGTCCTGGAACTAGCTCTGTAGACCAGGCTGGCCTCAAACTAACAGAGATCCACTTGCCTCTACCTCCCCAGTGCTGGGATTAAAGGCCACTACTGCCTGGCTTCAGACCTACAGAATATTTCCTCAGGCCTTTCAGAAAACACAGGCTTTTGCCTTGAAGAGTTATTTCACACAGAAATGTGTCATCAACAGAAGATCAGTTACTGCATTTTTCAGACAGAGGACAATGCCAGGAGGTCCCGGGAGACCTCCAAATTCAGATCCCCTTAATAGAAACCTCCAAATCAAGGGCAGATCCAAGTCTCACTTGGGGTCAAGGAGGAGTCATGCAGGTGAAGAATTCTGAGGCTAAAGTTCTACCATCTTTTGGTACCCACACCTCTGCCCTGGACTAGGGCACTGCATCCCAGTGTGTGGGACCTCCCTAGAGATGGTCCCTGAATTGCAGATGACCACTTTCTGAGCGGCAGACTGAAAACAGGCCTGAGTTTTTGGATTCAGAAAGGTCTAGTGTCAAACATCATTCTCACCTCTCAGTTGCTCTGTGCTCTTGAGAAAACAAATGAACAAACAACCTCAGAATGCTTCAGGTTCCTTAAGTAGAATGTATGTCTTTTATGTGTGTCACAGGGATTACAAGACACCATGGCATGGCTCTGGCATATTTGCAGTCCATGGCACTAGTGGGAGGGGGCAGCCTAGGGGAATAAAGTCAGATTGTCTGGGCTGGTATTCTTGAAGGGAATATTGGGCTCCAGTTTATTCTCTCTTCTCTGTCTCCATCTCTCTCCTGGGAGCCTTCTCCACTGCACATTCCCTCTGTGGTATACCGCCTTGCCATAGGTCCAAAGGCAAGACAGTAAAGCAGTCATGAAGAGAAACTTCTGAAACCGTGAACCAAAGTCCCTTCCCAAAAACCTGGTATCTCCTGTCTGGCATGTTTTCACAGTGCTGGAATGCTGACTAATGTACACTGAGAAGGTGCACTGCATCCTCTTCACTTAGCAAATGAAGTCTCTGGTATCTGGTGAATGTGTTTTGCCTTATACAGAAGCAGTTAGTGGTTAGTGTTATCACTCAAGAGTAAATAGCTTGCAAGCCTGCATTCAAGGTGGTCTAACTGTATAAACACAAGACTCAAGACTAGAATCCCACTTGCCCCAAATCAGTGGCTCACAGTTGTTTTTCTGCCTCAGCGTACCCAAGGATGGAGCACTTAGCACTCATCATAAAGGTGGTCCATGGCAGCAGCAACGGAGCCAGTGAGTGGAAAAGCTCTTGGAGCCTGATATGCACCATTCCCTCCAACATCTATCCCAACCCTGTGACTCACTAAGAAGCATGCTTTTTTCAAAAATTAAGACAAAATACTCAGTTTATCCAATTTATTTGACCAGTCACATTGGACTACAATGTTTTCATTTGTATAATGTAAAAATATACTTTAAATAAGAATACTCATACTTTACAATGTTAAAATTATATATACATATATATATATATGAAAGATTCATGAAGGAATTTGGAATAAAACATACACAGTATGCTATTTTAATATAGAAACACTTTAAAGAAAATAGTCTTATTAATTACAAATGTAGCATCACCAGGAATTTATAAAAGTTTCCACTTTCTTGAAGGTCACACTTCTCATCCTTTGGGATGTACAGAAATTATGTGGTTTACATAGTTCTATCCACATTTAAAAACATCATGTTTTAAATGTTTTAAGCATAGCATGTACAGTACACAGTGTTTCCATAGGAACATAACAGAAACTGTCACTAGTGGCCTGCTGTCAGATGGCTCTGAGTGAATCGGCCATTTGTAAGGCACTAGTCCAGTATATTGCTGTAACATTAAAGTTGTTCTATTCACCCAAAATATAATGAATTAAACTTACACTGGAGTCTACCCACCAGGGCTCAAAGAGTTATAATACACACCAATATATACACAGAACATGTCTTCTGAGTTGAATGAAGCTCCCACACTTAAATAAGAATCAAGAATGTGAGTTTTAGGTTAATATCTTGTGAGGGCTACTTTTAACATGTCTGGCAAAGTGCATAGTGAATAAACTTGTCACCAAAATTGATCCTTCCCTTAGCTCTTCGCTCCCTCCTGTCTAGTCCCACCACCTGAGAAATGAGAACCTTGGGGCCCTAGGACATGCCAGAGTAGCTTCACAAAGGAGGGCATTACAGGGACATTCACGAATCACTAGAGGCCTCACTGCCCCCCTAAAAATGGGTACAATTCACTATCCAGAGATTTCTGTGCAGGGTCTGAAAAACCAACACCCAAGAGAGAAAAGTCCATCCTAGTTTGTTGCCAACAAAGCCATCCATCAGCCATATTCCAGGGTTGGTGGCCCCCGAACAATATTGAAGTAGCCAGCCAGAGCACCGAGGTCTATGTAGAGGGAACGCTGTCTCCGCAGCGCTTCAGACTCCTCCGTGCTACCCGTGCATGAAGAGTCTGCAGAAGGAACATGGAAACAATGAGAAAAACCAATGACAAAAATGACAGGGAGGCCCAGGAAGTAACAACTATATGTCCCTTCTGTGAAGAAATAACCCGGAGGGGCTCAAGAGACAGTAGCCCAGCTCTGGCTGTCACAGATAGCCTTAATGGAATAGCACATAGATCACAGGGTTCCAATGGCCAACTAAGACAAGGAATTGGGTAGAAACTTTGGCATGTTCTTCAGTACCTCATTTTTTCCTACTAGATACTGAGAAAGTAGGCAAGAAAAACAGGCACTCCAGGTTTGACCTCTGAGTTTGTGTTATTATCTGGGCAATCTTCCTATCTTGACCTCCCAAGGGAGTGTGTGTGTGTGTGTGTGTGTGTGTGTGTGTGTGTGTGTGTGTGTGCGCGCGCGCGCGCGCGCGCGTGCGCACGTGCATGTGTGCACACACATTCGCGCACTGTGTGTGCAATGCAGGTGACAGAACTCAGGCCTTGTGCCATGCCAGGCAAGTGTTCTGTGTCTGAGTTACAACCCCAGCATCTGTTTTCCTTTTTATTTCAAGACAGTCTCACTAAGCTGCCTAGAGTAGCCTTGAACTCACTCTGTAACCCAGGCATGCCTTAATCTTGTGGTCTTCCTGTCTGGACCATCATGCCCACATTTTTCTTTTGAGACAGGGTTTCAAGTAATTGAGGCTGATCTTGAACTTCTAACTGCCCTATCCAAGTGTTGGGACTACAGGAGTGTGCCACCAAGCCTGGCCTTCATCCTTCACCACATCCCCCCCCCCCACAAGTGACCACATTAGAGGTTTCTGTGGACAGGAGGAGGGAAGCCAGTGGCTGCAAAGGCACACAGGCATACACCCACATGCACACAGCAGGGTGGCCTACCAGCAATGTTCTCAGGAAGTTCCAGCTCCTTCCTGCTCAGCAGCCTCTTCCGTTCAAAGAGGGCAGAGTCCAGGCTCTGACATCGTGGCTGGTCCTCTCTAGGGGGATTCAAAGCTTCATGTTTCAGTAGGTCTGCTGCTGTTGGACGGTGGTTGGGGTTCCTCTCCAGGGCGGTTTCTATCAGCTCCCTCATGCCTGGACTGCAGTCACCAGCAATGTCTTCCAGGGGAGGTGCCTGCTTGTGGATCTGTCAACAAACCAGTTCTGTCAGCATGGATGGCATAGAGACAGATGCTCAGACAGTGGGGAGTGACCTACACCCCACCGCATGACCCCTTCAACTTCCTAGCAGCGGTTAAACCAAGTTTGGTTTAATGGCAAAAGGTACATGCTGTGTTTGAATTAGCAGTGACAGCTTCTCATGGGGGCACCAGAGATGGCTGCAACAGGGAAACGGCTGCCTCTGTCTTGTTCTCACACTCTACTCTAGGACATGCCATTGGGCAGAAGGAAGGAGGTTTGGGGGCAACAGAGAGTAATAACATATTTTCTTTTTTAAAAAAGGCATCTTAAAGAACTCATATACTTTCCTTGGCTGACAGAGTTGTAGGACTCTGATGCTTCTAAGTGTGTTTGACCACACGTAAGTATAATGGGATAGCATACAAATTATATCTACTCATTTCAGTCAGCTTCCATTAAAATAGACTTTCATTTTAATAATGGAATTGCAACCACCTCTGTGGGTCTCCATTCTACCATCATCTCCTCTCTTTGGTGTGCTTTTGGGATGGTGGGACTCACTGCACCCCAGCCCAGCTGACCCTCACTTACTATGTACAGGTAGGAGGGATAGGCCGATCGAGGGTAGCGCTTCACCCAGGGTGGGGTGCCTGTCTGCATGTGGATGAGAGTAGCTCCAAGGCTGTAGATGTCCGCTTTTGTGGAATGGCCCCTGCACAGAATCACCTCGGGGCTCATGTATATCTGAAAAAAAAAAAAAGACAAGGAAAGCATCATTTGTCTGGCTTCCTTTTCCCTAGCCGGTTCTAGAAGCTGGCTCCTTTGCCTTCATGACATTTGCTGCATGCTCTAGAGGGAATGCTACTGCAATATCCCTCAAGCCAAGGAGAATCCTAAGATGTTCTCTAGAACACCTCTTTCCCACCCAGCAGGTCTGACCTCAAAGGGCTTGAACTGATTTCCACTGATCTGAGTTCTGTAGATGTTCATCAGTTATATACAACTGTCTATTAAATCACCAATTCTGCTCAGACTTAAATGAGACTACACATATACTTCTCCCATTTATCACTTAATTGCCTAAAGGTGGCAGAATCCTGCAGGGTATTTACGTCAATGGTTTAGAAGGGAAGAGCCTGCAAAAATAAAGCATAAAGTTGGGGAAATGACTTTAATGAGTCATTTATACCTGACAAGTATCCCAGTGACTAACCATCAAAGTCCTCTACAACAGAGTATAAGTTCTGAGGCTGAAGCAAGAGTATTGCCAAAGCTCAAGGATAGCCTGGGCTACAGACTGACTGAGAACTTGTCTGAAAAAATAATAAAATAACAAAAAATACAGCATAATTTGCATTTGATTTCATAAGTCGATGTTGAGTAAGTAAGGTGATTTTCTAAACTTTATTTTTCTAAATTTAAGATGGGAGAGGAAAAAAGAAAGCCCCGGCTACCAATAATCTGTAGTCAGGGCTGGCACAGACATACGGTGTTAGTATCCTAGTTAACAACACAGGCTGAATAGCTCTAATTTAAGGGTACAAAGGACTCCAAAACTGGAAGCTTTTGAGCAGGATGATGCCACAAGTGGAAATTTCCACATATGACCTCATGTGACAGGCCACATTTAAAACACAGCCACACTGAGAATACCCTGCTAGCTGTCTTTCAGGCTAATGAACCCTCTGTTTATGCTTCAGTCCCATCCTCAGGATAACTCACAACAACACCACACAGATGTTCCAAGACCAGGTGAAGGAAAAAAGAGTAAGTGGAGGAACAGGAGAGGGGGAGAAAGAAAAGAAAACAGAAAATAAAGAAGGAAGGGAAAGGCAAGGAAGAGGAGGGGGAAGAGAAGACAGGGGTAGGAAAGGGGTGAAAGTATGAAGCCCTCCTGTGCCAAGCCCTTCAGGTATGATATTTAACCTGCTTCGGCTTTCAAAAGTTTTTATGCTGTCATGAGAAGATGAAGAAAGGGTTAGCATTCTCAGAATTCATTTCTGAGTAAATAAGTAGAAAATTAGCTTACAAAAACTGGGGAAATTGCCCAGTTTCCCCATCTTAGCCTGCTCAACTCCTTCCCAAAATACACTTCCTTGCAGGCTTCCTTCTGCCCTCAGCAAGAAGGCTACACTAAGCTCTGGGTCCAACCACTTTCCCTGCAGACAATGAATAGCATGTGTCTCTCGACCTTTTTAATAACCACAATCTCAGTCACAGGGTTAAAACATTGAATATTCAACTTTGTACCCTTTGGTCAACAAGGAGTTACACATCCACAGCTTGCCAAGCAACTGCACTTCCTCCTGTTAAAACGTCTCACCATAATCAAATACAGTTAAGAAAGGAATGCTATCTGCTTGCTGTCAGTAGAGGAGGTCTGCCTCCTCTCTCTCTCATACAGAGTGGAGAGGAAGCAAACCATATGCATGGGTTCTACATGCCTCACGCCCAGCTTACATTTGGAGCTGCCAGTATCAGCTGGTGGCCTGGGTGCAGGCCCCCTGGCACACAGCCAGGAGCGTTGAGCTCAATGTTTCTTCCTCCTCGAGCTCCAGAAAGAACCAGACAGGCAGCTCAGAAAAGTCTGTCTTTGGGCTGGCTGCCTGGAAGGCTTGGGTCGGAACTGACAGCACTTGCTCCAGAGTTGTCTGCCCCCACTCCCGCCCCCAAGAATGAGTGAAGTGCAGGGGAACTAGAAGTTAGAGTCAAGGCCTTTGTGTTTTATAGCAAGGAAAAGAGACAGTCATGGGTATGTCTGCATGAACACATGTGCACATCTTTATTCTAGATTAACATATAAAAAAGTTAATACTAGAATCAGAAGAAAGTAAGAACTGTAAAAAATAAAGAACAAAACCATAGCAAAATAATTCTAGGATGTTACTTATAGTTCCTATTTTTCCCCCTCTGAGCCATGTAACTAAAAACAAGTAAATATATACCAGGTTAACCTTGGGTATATATGACATGTTACAGTATGAAACTCTGAATATGGAGAGAGGAAGGAAATGAGGGAGGGAGGGAGGGAGGGAGGGAGGGAGAGAGAGAGAGAGAGAGAGAGAGAGAGAGAGAGAGAGAGAGATCCAGAGGTGAAGCTTGCATTTGTGAGCTATACTGCAGAGATCTGAAATAGTCATTGACTTGCCAACAGCCGAGTAATCGCATCCTAGTGGGAAGCAAATCTGCCTGCTTGCCTGGCTACTAATATCTAATTTGCTCTTTAGTATAAGGAGTAAAAGCTGGCTTGCTGAAGAGTTGCATCAGGACTTCATAATTATTTTCACACCTCAGTTCGTGAGCACTGTGCAGACAGTACAAGAGAGACAATTGACAGGATGAGGCATGGAGGGACAGACAGCAAGACCGTTTTTATACCAAATACACAGACATTATCATTAGCCAAAAATACTTCATCTAAATACTACTCAGGAGCCAGATGGATGCTATACGCCCCATAACTCTAGTACACAGGAGGCAGGGGCAAGAGGACATTGAGAACAAGGCCAGCCTAGGCTACACAATGCATTTGAGGGGAGGCTGAGCTACCCCAAACTCAAATAAAAAGAAACCCTACGGATGACCGACATGTGTGACTCTACACCCAGCCATCCTGGCTGAGAATCCCAGAAACACAGGCTTTTCTCCAACATTGCATAATTTTCAACTTGACTGCATTGCCAGGAAGCAAAAGGTATTTTTTTCCTCTAATACCATAAATAGTTTGTTTCTCAAACTGGTTCCAGGGAAAAGGGTGGAATGTCCCGGATCTGAACTCCTGACTAATGCCAAAAAGTGCTGAAACGCCTTCCAAAGACAATGGCCTAAGCATCAAGGCGAACCAGACTTTCTAGAAGTGGGAAATAAACATTCTTCAATTTAAAAAGAGGTCTGCAGAACCAGTATGGCCTCAGCACTGGGGAGGCTGAGGCAGGAGGATTATGTGTTTCAAGTTGGCCTGGGCTGTATAGTGAGGCTCTGTCTCACAGAAATCAAAATAAAGTAATTCCAGAAACTCATTTTCCAGATTTAGTTTTGGTTTCAGTTCACAGATGAAATATTATCACTATAGCTGCAAACAAAGTGTGCTGTGCTCATGACTCCAGGTTATACTTTGCCTGGGAGAAGACAGCCAGGTCTTGCTGGTCAGTCCTCAGTAAATGGAAACCGCCAGAACAGTGAGGATAAACTGAACCAAGTGTTGGAGTAGTTATTGTGGTAGTTTGTTATCTAATGAGATGTTAATTATGTTAAAAAGCTACCCAGAATTCAGAGCTCAAATCCTTAGAAAATAAGAACTAAGAAAATAAGAAACTAAATCCTTATTCTCTAAGAATTCAAGCTGGGGAATCTGTGTAACTGTGTATGTTCAGGCTCTGTGTTATACTCTCTCCATGTTTATTGCCTTATTATAAAATGGGAAAACAGCAATCACCTACCTGCTACAGTAATAGTATTCACCAACAATAAAGTCATTTTAGGGAGAAATAATTCAAGTGAATTATTTTGACTATCAAATTGTAACAGTTTTAAAAGATGGATTCTGAATCTACAAGTTGAGTATCCCATGTCTGAGAAGGTTGGAACCAAAAGCCTCTCAGATTTGAGAGTTCATATTTTGGAATATTTGCATACATATGTGGATTTTATTAAAATCTTTTGTGTGTCTGTCTCATGTGCAAACTCCTCTCTCTCTCTCTCTCTCTCTCTCTCTCTCTCTCTCTCTCTCTCTGTGTGTGTGTGTGTGTGTGTGTGTGAGAGAGAGAGAGAGAGAGAGAGAGAGAGAGAGAGAGAAAGAGAGACTGACTCTGCATATTGGACACTTCCTACCTTGAGCCAGGATCTTGTTTTTACTGCTGTGTATTGTTGCAGGCTATTTGTGAGCTTTGGGGAACACTCCTGTCTGCCTCTCATTTAGTCACAGTTGCAAGGGATTACCACACTTGTCTTTATTTGGGTTCTCAGGATCTCAACTAGGTCCTCAGGTTTGTGTAGCAGGCATCTTACTGAATGCTCTCCAGCTCTTGAACAGTTCTCTAGACTTTTGGGTTAGAGAAAAGTCTAACCCAACTTGTTCTTCACAGCATTTCTAGAATATTATTTTTATCCTTAATAAGATAATAACGATCTTCACACCCATACAATTACCTCTGTTCCTCGGAGATCCTTGGGAAGATAGACATCTTCAGTCATTTGAACACTTAGGCCAAAATCTACCAAAACAGCTTTTGTAGACATGAATACAATATTGCTGGCTGCAATGGGAAGGATTTTAAACATGAGTTAATAGATCCTCTGGCAACATGACAACATGATGTGAACAGTGAGTTCTAATCACAGCAGAATGAAATGCTTCTGGTAATGACACAGGCGTATCACATCCAGAAGAGACTTGCTGGCGAGAGGTTAAGAGAAGATCTCTTGAGGCCTGTCAAGTACCCAAGCAGTGTGGGCTTATATGAGCACAGCCATTAGGAAAACTGGAGGCTTGGGCTTCAAATTCTAAGACATAAGCATCTGCCATCAAGCCACTGTCATTAAAAAAAATAAATAAAAGTTAAAAGTAGTTTTTCCTGATTAAAGTTGTGCTTGTCACTAGGTATTAAAGATTTATAGTGAGTCTGTTTTATTTCTATATCATTTCTGAGTTCTAGCAATTTGGTTTTTTTAAGAGATTGTTTAATGAATTGTTGCCAAATTATGGCTCAAAATTAAGAAGACATTTGTTTCTCAAAAATATATGCCTACATGTTTGGATTAAGTAATGTCCCTCTTACCCATTCTGTCTGTGTGTGTGTGTGTGTATGTGTGTGTGTGTGTGTGTGTGTGTGTGTGTTGTATGTGGTGTATGTGTGTATCTGTATGGTGTGTGTTTATTTATATGGTGTGTGTGTGTATGTGTGTGGTGTGTGTATGTGTATGGTGTGTGTGGTGTGTGTATGTGTGTGTATGGTGTGTGTGCGTTTATCTGTATGGTGTGTGTGTATATGTGGTGTGTGTGTGTGTGTGTGTGTGGTATGTGGTGTGTGTGTGTGTGTGTGTGTGGTATGTGGTGTGTGTGTGTGTATCTGTATGGTGTGTATGTGTATGTGTGTATGTGGTGTGTGTGATAGAGATCAAATCCAGGGCCTTGTGTGGGCTAAGCAGGGACTCCACCACTGAGCCATACCCTTGGTGTTGCATTCTTGTTTTTAAAGCACTACACAAGGACAGGGGCAGCACACCCAACAGACATGTGGTCATGGTCCCTGCTCCACTGTTCAGTCACCACCCTCCCTCCTGGCTGCTAACATTCTTAGTGACCAGGCTTCATTCTATGAGCTCTTTCAGGGCACAGAAAAGGAGATGAGCTGTTGTTTGTAGGGGGCTGTACTGCTTGCTACTGAGTGCCTTTGGGTTAAAACATCTCACCTGGCTCCAATCCAGTGAGTCCCATTAAACCACAGCAAGGTAGGTTCCACTACTCACGTTTAATATCATGGTGGATCACTTTCTTGGAGTGCAGGAAATCAAGTCCTTTGAGAACGTGCTTTGTCACCCAAATAATTTCAAATTCTCTCATAGGTCCACAGCTCTCCAGCTTCTCCAGAACAGACCCTCCCTCGCCTGCCTCCATGAAGAGATGGACAGTATCACCCCACAGGATGGCACCATATAATTCAGCAATGTTCTCATGCCGGAAGCAGGCCTGGATTTCCACATCCGATGGCTTAAACTGATCCACAGGGATCTAGCAACACAACACATGGGCAAGAGTCTAAACAACCTCAAGATGATAAAACAAACAATACAGATCAACCCAAAAACCAGAAGCCAAATTAACACAAGGACATTTAAGAGGCATCTGACAGGGCACTGATGTATCAAAAACTGTTTAGCACAGAGCCCCTTCTACATTATGTCATCTTTAGATAGAAATTTTTTAAACATAAAAAAAAAAACAACGTAGGGAAAAAACTCACTTCATTTAGAGTTTTGAAATCCAAATGAAGTTTACAAGTATTGAATGAGCAAAGAGGATTTCCTATGACCAATATACATCATCTCCACAGCCCCAGAACTCTGTGTTCTTCAATATCTCACCTGATTGTGTGATGATATGAAGTCATTAGTACCTAACATGAAGTCACGAGTTCACACTCAGGCCACAGCTTTAAGGTAAGTGCCCACCCGTCCCAACATGCCATGAAAACTTAGTCCTCTGTCAATAAGAGCTGTGATAAGAGGTAGTGTTCATAGAGCGAGTTCATAGAGAGACTCTTAAAATATCTTTAAATACTGTGTCAGGGGCAAAAGGTGGTATTATTCTAAAATGATGATACACACACATCTGGAAAAACAAGAAGTTCCCAACAGTGGTTGTAGTAAGGAAAGGGGCCCCATTCATGAGCCTCCATCCTTTTGAGCCTGTCTAGGATTTTTAATTGCATATTTGATTTTTTTAAGAAAAATACTCTCCTTAAATATTTAAATATAACAAACACTAAAAGGACAAAAAAAACCCCACAAAGCCAGTTTTCCATGCTTTTGTAGTAAAATTTAAAAATAGGATGCTGGGTCTCCAATTTTTAAAAAAGGTCCCTAGATAGTTTACAGTTTAGATGAGACACCCTGGATAGAAGCTTCAAAAAGCTTACTATAAGTCTTATTTTTTTTCTTTTAGTAATAGATTATCTAGTCAATCTTTTTTTTAGATGGGGGCGGGAAATCTCACTATGGAACCTTGGCTGGCCTGGAACTCACTATGTAGACCAAGTTGTCCTGGACTTCAGAGAGATCCACCTGCCTCTGCCTCCCAAGTGCTGGGTGGGGTTAAAGATTTATCTAGTGACTCATAATGAAAGAACAAATTAAAGACAACATATTGGTGGTCTTGTGATTGATATGAGACACTGAAACAGGGATCTGGCAACTATTTTTTTTATTTTACTTTTTTGCTAAATCAAGACTAAACACTACACTCGGGCTAGGGATGTATCCCAGTGGTAGAGTACTTGCTTAGGGTAAGTGAGGTTCTGGGTTTGATTCCATGTACCACAAAAGAGCAGAAAATGATATTTAACTTCCTCACACTTGAAATGGTGTCAAACCCAATGAACCATCCACTGGGCTCCACTAACTCTTTTCAGTTACTATGTCGCAAGGGTGCCCCATGACCACAGCATCTATCTAGCAGATGGATTTGTGGTCCTGTTTCTGAATTTAATATACATGGGACTTCATATAATAGATCTTGTTTTGGGTCTATCTGTTCTGAGACACATCCACACTTCTTTAGCTGTAAACCATTCTTTCTCTTTGTGGCCTGAAGTCCCATTGCAGAAGTGTCCACCTATTGGTATCTGGGAAGTTCCCAGAATGCTACTTCAGCAAACAGTGCTGAATTGAACAGCCCAGAATAGTCACGCACATGGACACACCTCTCTGATGGGTGTAACAAAGCAGTGGAGTTACTGGGTCACTCCAGGTGTGTACATTTGAGCTGCCAGAATCTGTCCAGCAGTCTTCTGACATAGCAGTCATTAAGAGATGGGGCCCTTTCAGCAGTTGGTACATTTGAATTCAGCCCTATAAATCTGCAATCCCAAGGAACATCCTGTTTTCCTCATCTCTGTTGCTTGCCATGGACCCCTCCCCAATGGACAGGAGCTGCACAGATCCACTCTTCCATCTCTGGCACATTCTCCCACTCCCACCAAACCATTCTTTTAACTAGATTACAAACTCCAAGACACCTAAGTAGAGATCAGGAGGTCACAATCAAGACGTAAGAATTTAATTGTCCCAGGTCACCAGGCACTCCAGAAATGGCAGACACTTTGGGGCAGGAACCTTAAGTAAAACCCAATGTAAGGGTAGACAGAGCCTTTAGTCATGGTAGAACCCAAAGCCAGGAAGTTAGATACACAGTGTGGATGTACACACCAGTTTGCATGCCATTCTTTTCTTGGTCTTCATGTCTTGTGCTAAGTACACTTTTCCAAAGGCCCCCCGAGGAACGAAACCAGAGCCAATGTTCCTATAAGTCAGCTTCCAAGGGACGAGGAGGACATCTGAGTCAATTTGGTAGCGGCCGTTCTGGGGACTGATTACCTGCAAGGAGACACAGATGCTGAGGTGAAGCCCACTCCACAGAGCTATTTTAGAAGCATTCAATGCAGTGGTGCCATGTGTCATTCTGACATTACAGGCTATATTTAGAACTTGAGCAAGACAGAGAAAGCTTGTAACAGACACAAGTTCCTGGTCCAACCTGTTCATATTTCCAAATGCTTATGAGTAGTTAGCTGCCAAAGAGAAGCTGAAAAATTATTTATCTAGGGAGTCTGACGACTGTGACCCAAAGACTGCAAATAAAGGATGCACTCGTGCCTGGAGGTTGACTTGTTTCTATTAAAATGCACTAACCTGTTTGTCTGCATAGCTATTACTCACACATGATGCACACACACACAGAGAGAGAGAGAGCGTGGAAATTAACTGAGGCTCAGGGAGGATTGTAGAACCAGTGTGTGATGCCAGAGTCATGAGTTGACAATGCTACATAAATAAGGAAGGGCAGAGTTGTTTCTCTTTGGCTTCCTCACTTCAACTTACAGTGTGCCTATTATGTGCCCTGGGATGAGATTGATAATGAGGAGACAGCCCAAGCAGAGACAGGAGGGTCCAGACTAAGGGTTCATGGGCAAAGATACCCTTTAGATCAGGTCTTTCAGAACGAGTGGGACTCCAGGCTGGAATTGTGGCTCAGTGGTAAAGCACATGCCCAGTATGCCCAAGGTCCTGGGACTGATGCCCAGCATTGCATACATGAACAACAAACAAAACACACTTCAACACAAAGAGCAAAAACAAAACCAGCCATCTCAGACATCAAGAGCTATATCCTGAGAGCAATGTGGGATCAGAGGACAGACACTGAAGCCCACTAGGGTGGGACACTACAGAAATACCAGCACTGGGGAGGCTGAGGCAAGAGAATGGTGAGGGCCAAGCCAGTCAGAGCCATGTGGCAAGCTTGTCTCAAAAACAATAAATAAACAAATAAAAAGCGATTATCACAATTCAAATAAAATGGTAGCCTGTGGGAAACATGGCCTGAAGTACATGCTTTAAAACATGACTAACGTGTTCTAAGAGATAGTCTCCCCAGATGCCAGCTGTTTCCTCAATGTGATTAGTCATGGTATGGCCTGAGATATCAACCCAGGACCTCTGATTTAAATAGTATTGAGCTACTTCAAGAGCTGAAGAAAATGTGAAAGCCCCTAAGCCTATCCCATGGGAGAACAACAAGCACCAGATCCTACTGTGGTTGCATCTAGGCTTCCACTCACCATTATAGGACAGGCCTGATTACCAAAGGACTGTCCACTCAACCTCCATCATTGCTAATTAGCTGTATAGTCTACAGGAACGGAAGTAAAGAATAGCCCAATACTTGGAAACACAACATTACTAAATCTGAAACTTAAATATTTACAGGGTGCTTTTGCTGAGGGGTACCTCATACAGGTCCTTAAAGGAAATAAATACAAACAACTGCCCTGTTTCATTTAAAATATGATGACCACCTCTCCAAAAACGTGCCACTTCTTGTCCCTGTAGACCTCATTTTGCACTGTGCTGAGGATAGTGTGATGACAGAGCTAGGGCCCTGGCAGCACTGGCTTGGGGTCCCCTTTCTTGTCATCCACAGAACAACTCTAGTTAACCATCTCAGGGTTTGACCCCATATTCACGAAAGTTTGGCTTTTGACCAAATTAAGTGTGTGATGACCCATCTCCATCCCCTTATTCTATGGAAGATGACAGAAGAAAGGAACAGCCACCACACTGAGAGCTAATTAGGGGCCAGGTGCAGTGCTGCTGTTTTGCATTATCTCATTAAAGTCTACAGCCATCCTGAGCTAGGTTCTATTTTTATTTTCATTTCATAGCTGAGGCTGGCTTCCAGGGGTGAAGCAACTCTCTAATCAGTGCCAGAATTAGGATTTGCACTCAGGTCTGCCCAGCCCCAAAGCCAGAGCACCCAATCTTTGTGTAAGAGCCTTTGGGGTTCCAGAAGGCTATAATTAAAGCCATGCTAGGGCGCAGACTCAGTTGTTCAAAGCCTCAGGAACTCACTGGGTGAGGCTCAAGTCACAGGCAGTCTGGCTCTTTCCCTAACACCAGGTCTTCCCTGCTTGAGTTTGACACATATTTTTATATTTAACTTCCCCCTTTCTGGGGTCCCCTCTAAGCAGTCTTGTAGAACTGCCAATTCTCCAACTTACTGAAGTCACTTCCAAGGGCAAATAGTAGACATAAGCTTTCTAGTCCCTCATCCAAATTACTGCTATCTATACTAAATGATACAGGGGACAGTACTTGGGAAATTCCTTAGGTATTTTATTGAGTGAGCTGTGTAACCTGTTTCCTATGAAGCAGAAGTGATCTTCAGCTACATGCATGGAAACAGATTATCTAAAAACAAAGACAAAGCTATGTCTCTCCTACCCTTCTGGTGACATAAGTGGACCCCCAAGTTCAGGTTCCTGTTGATAAGGCAGGTAGTAAGGGATTCCATTTAAAGGCAAATGACATACCAAGTTCTTAATTCAGAATTCTAAACTATCACCACTACTCATCATATATACTTACTGGGGGTGGAAGTGGGGCAGAGAGTAGAAGCTAAGGTAAGGGGCAGTCAGAGATGGATTTGGTTATATATAAGAAGAAACTTCCTTATGGTCAGAACTTGACAAATGAGACACTGGATGCAGGATGTAATGGCTCTTCCTAATGGGTCTGGAGGAACAAACCAGAATATTCTACCCAGTATTATTAAGTGCCTGGTTCAAATATCAAACAGAAGGCTGGACTCTTGAACTTGAGAAGCTATGACTCCATGTCTAAACCCTGAGGGTCATCACTCCAAATGCTACACCAGCATGTGAAGTGAACAGATCTAAGGTGGGGGTATTCAGATCCACACACAACCACCAGAGTTGAATACTTGGGGGCTGGCTGTTTTATCATTCTATCCAGATCACGTACAAACTGGTTATAAATAACTTTGCAATGACATAGAGTAAGTAGTTCCTAGGTTAGTCTCCTGGTATTCTTTCCTTGGATTTTGTTGGATACTAGTACATTATTTAACTTACACTATTTTTTTTTAAAAAATACACACATATAAATACACACCCAGGGAGAACCCATCCAACATGCCCATGCTTTGGGATATTGTTTTAATCTGTAGTTCTCCACCCTGTCAATTAACTTTGCAGCACGATGGGTGTTGGCTGCCTTTACACATCAGGTCTCTAGACCTCTGGGCCTATGCACATGCTGTCTCTTCACCTAAACAATCTTCACTTCATTTAGCTCCAACTTGTTGTTTATATCTTGGTATAGGTACCAAGTCTTCTTGGAAGCCTGTGTGGACATCCTCCTTTTCCCTTCCCTTCCTCACACGCAAGGGCATGAGAAATCTTGCCTAAGCATCCCCAAGGCTGTCAGGGTGTAGATACATTGTGGCTGAGAGTGCTGTGCTATATCACCTGTTCACTTGCCTCCTGTAGGCACCAGGCATTGAGCTCCCTATGGCACAGACTACTCAGAACTCTATCTAGCACCCAGAATAATTTGTTACACTGTGGTTGTCCCAGCTATGTCTAGCAAATGAACAAAGGAATATTTTGAATAAAGGTGTCTGTCCCTGTGTAGGAAGCTTTCATGGATACATTTTACTAAGGACCCAATCTAGGAGGCAGCTAATTCTCTAATGCAGAGAGACCAGGGACAGCAAAGCTAGACAAAGCTAGCAAAGCAACTACACAGCTTTGCCAAGTCTGTAGATGGAGGATGAGAAGAGAAAGGACTTGACTACAGGATAGAAGGTTCCACCGCAACACCATGCCTGAATCAATGATATTACAAGCAAATCATGTGTCAGACTGACTCTGACCAAAGACCAATGCATAGGCCATCACTTAGAAAGCACAGAGCTGTGACAGATTACCACCAGCCTTAGGGAACAGTTTCATTTTTAATGCCTATGACAGGAAAGTTAAACACAGTCCCCAGAAGCACAGCCCCAGGCCTAATGGGGTCAGATCCACGTGCCTGTGGGCTATAATTCCATCCTGTTTCCCATCATTCCATTCGCCTTGGTCTTCTTGCTTTATATTTTATATTCTTCAGCATTAAAAAAAATATAAGTGCCTATTAAGATTCTTAAGACCCATGCCTTTATGGTAGCCTTGATTCCTACATTTTCTTTTTAGTTAATTTGCTCATTTATTGAGCATGGCTTCTTTGGCAAGGAATGACAGACAATACTTCACTGGTGCCTTTCCTGACCAAGTTTTTACTTCCTTCTAATGACTGTGGTTTCCGGCCCTTTCTGCATTAGCTCTCCTGGCTCTACTACTAAACCAATGTAAGAAGCTACTTTTTGGTGGTATTCTTTAAAATTTCCTAGCATTCCCCTTGTGTATACGGACCATGGTCCACCTCTCCTCAGTAAGGGCCAGCACATCTAAGTTTCTCTATTTTTACAAGCAAGGATGATTAGTTTATTCTGCTTGTCTTTATTTATCAAATATGTGAAATAATGGAAGAAATACATCAGCACTGAATTTGTCACTGTCCACATGTGTGTTATTTTGAAGCATACTCCTCTAGTTTTACCCTGGCTGAGGAAATCAGGTATGGATCCTGCTTCAAATGATGAATTCCCAATCATAAAATGAAGTCATACTCTAAAGACAGTTTTAGTTCATTGTTAAATGTAGTGTGGTAGATCCACACCAAAGAAGTCAGTCACACCCCGATGCCGAACGTGAGCTTGCTTTGTACTGAGCCAAACACAATTGACTCGTAACAAAACAACTCACTACATAGCTGACCTAAATTACTGCGCTGTTTTTCATTAAATGAATGTGGGACGATTAAAAAAAATATCATTATTATTATTTCCTTGGTCCCAACTCAGGCTCTTCAGCAACAGCTCCCCCAGCATGGGTCATGCTGCCATTTGTACACACCAAGGGAAAGAGAGCTGCCACTAAACACAGATATGTTTGCAACTTACCACCTACTCTTTTGTAAGCTTTCCTTTTTACAAAATTAAATCACCTTTTAACCGTCGCCCACGTGTTCACCTCTAACACACTAACAACCTGACAGAATGCCAGGCACACCTAAATGCTCCACCTGACCAACTATTGTGGCAACAAAAAGTTGTCACAATATTTTGGGCTATCTGCATACTTGAGATGACTAAGCAACTCCATCACTTGTGGCTCATTGCCACTTATAGAGAGTGAATCTGTGGATAGTTATTTGCTACCTATAAAGCTGCATTTCTACAGGAACCAAATTTAGCCAAATGGGATAAAAGGAGAAAATAGTTTTCAGCATTATTAAGACAGCATTTATTGTCTCTTGGCTGGTGGACTCCTGTTAAGACCCTCTCTTTTGTGTATATAATGAATTAGCCTTTAAGTGAATTGTTAAAATACATCTGTAAGGGCTGAGGTATAGTTCAGGGGTACAGTGCTTACCCAGCATGCCCTACGCCTGGGGGAAAAAAGTTTATTCATAATAGCTTCTTCATAAAATTACTACTAAATTATATGCTTCTGAAATGGAGCTTATATGAAGATTTCCTTCTCATTTTTTTTAACACAGAGGTGATTCTTACCAATAAATACATTCTTTAAAACTTATACCGTGGCAGCCATTCTAAGCCATGTTCAATGCCACTCTGCATTCAGCGAAGCCATACTAGTAAAGCTGAACACACAGCACTCAACTGACCAGAAGAAACATACCATATTTAATAAAATTCCAGATTCTTGCGGTCGATGTCCATAAAAATGCTTTGCAGTGTTAGATATATGGTTTGCAAACGCAAGCAGATCCTCCACAGTCCCGTATTTGACAGATGACAGCCAGGGCACCTCCTGGCCACTCCGAAGCAGTGACTCTGAGTGCTCCTTGTTTTGATTACTGCCTGGACACATGGTCATCAGACTGGGCTCGTAGACTGCTGGCTCTTCACTTGCGTAAAGGTTTTCCATTATGTCTATGACTTCCGACACATTTAAATGCTTAATTAATAAATCAATTTCTTCTTTCTCGTCACTTCCAGTGCTCATGTACTCCATCACTGTGGTGCCTGCTGGAGAGTCTACAAAAGAAACACAAACACTTCCTTCACTATGATGTGTCTGAATTGGAGACCAAAGAGACAGGGGATCTGCTCCTCCGTGCCTCTGTTCATAACGAGGATTCTTCTTTACTCACATGTGTGAACTCAAGTGGGCAGTGCCAAGTTCAAAGGGACCTTAGATAATCTTTAGCCCAGCTCACTTTGCAGGGGGAAACCTGAGATGCAGAGTGCTTGTGAGTTACTCACTGTGGCATCAGATCTAGCTACTGAAAACAAACTTTCACTAAACACAAACACAATAAAGAGCAGTCCAGGGTTCTCTGAAGACTAAGGCTCCTTCTTCTTATAACTACTAACCTTGCACAACTTCATTGTTCCCCCAGAAAGATCACAGTGGCTTTAGAGAAAAATGATTTGAAAGAAAAAGAACTACTTGACTAAAATTCAGGAACTGATCTGGCAAATACACCAAGTCCCAAAAGAGAAGAAGGCATGTAAAACAGGGTTTGAATGGAGCAAGCGGGAGAGTGAGAAGTTAAGTTTGGGGGGGAAAATCTAGGGGCCTGGGATCTTAGATGTGCCAAAGATAAACAAGGATGAGAGAGGTGACTCACTGCCCTGTGAGTCACAGTCCCCTCCTGACACCTGAAATTCTTTAGTAGTACAAAGCACACATTTCGAGGGTCCCAGAAAGCTAAGTTAACACCTAGATCAACTGGCCTGGAGAAACTCTAGTAGAAGAAAGAAGCCATGAAAGTCAAATCTGTTATAAGCAAGCCACAGGTGAAGATCAGCTGACTTCACTAGCCAAGGTGACATTTTGGTCCCACACAATCAGGTGCCACAGTTAGGAAATGTAGGTAACAAAAGAAGGCAAACACACCGTAAAAAGAGTGACGCTGTTCCCCTGGGTCTTACGATAACTCAGCTCCACTACAAAGGAGAAAAGATAAGAGCAGCTAAGAGATCTAAGACAATTTCAAAGCCTGTCTGAATTAAATCACCTTGCTCTAGAAAGCATAGCCTCTCTGGAAGACACTTCAGGTTCTTTTTTCTTTCTTTCTTTCGTGGTTTCTTTTCTTTTTTTTTTTTTTTTTTTTTTTTTTTTTTTGGTTTTTCGAGACAGGGTTTCTCTGTATTACTTTGGGGCCTGTCTGTCCTGGAACTCGCTGTGTAGAGCAGGCTGGCTTTGAACTCACAGAGATCCGCCTGCCTCTGCCTCCAGAATGCTGGGATTAAAGGAGTGAGCTACCAACACCCAGTGACACTTCAGGTTCTTAGTAGCACCGGTGTTTAGCAGGTATCACAGTGCTGTGGTATGGAGCTCACCGGCTAGCAACTCCTGCTGAACCTATAAGCTCTAGGTTTAGTGAAAGACCTGCCTCAAAAAGTATGGTGAGAAAGACTTCCAACGTTGACTTCTAACCTTCACATGCATCAGCACATCCATGCACTATGCATGTACACCTGCATGATATGTATACACAAACGTGTACACTTACATACATTACACCAATACACATACACAAAGTAACAAGATATCACTCCACCAAACCCATGCACCTGTGACAACTTGGAGCTTCAGTTCAAAGATTCTGGAAACTTCCACCCAGGGCCACCTGCACACATGACCAAGTCATGTGCCTCTGATGTACAAACTGCTTCTGAGGAAAGCATCCAGGCCACATTAAATATTCCTCTCCTCATAGCCAAATTTCACCATCAACCTCAGTACCCCTGAGATGTTGGGCAAGTACCTCAAGCTCTCTGTACCTTGATTTCCTCCAACTGCAAAATAGAGATAATAACAGCACCTACCATCTAATTAAAGGAGCTCCTGTGCACAGGTACCCAAGTCTGGTGCATAGTAAGTAAAGCGGTGCCAAGTACTGAGATGTGGACCTAGCTCAGCAGATGTCATGCCAGCCTCCTTTCTCATCTGCAAGTGGGATTTGTCTGCCTATTCCCCAGACCTCTCCTTGGTGAGCTTTTAAAGACTGGGTCTACCCCAGTGGAGGGTCCAGAGCAGAGGGGGAGGGGGAAAGGGGCTGGCTGTGGGTTGGGAGGAAGGAGAGAGAGGGAGAAGGGATTGACATGTGAAATTATAATTTTGTAAAATTAAATTAAAAAAAACCACTGTGTCTATGCTGAAACAAAGGTGGAAGGGGAGCCCCAGCCCAAGCCCAAGAAGTATGCTGATGTTTGTTATCACCACACTTAAATTTGGACAAGGGTCCAGACAGTGCCTTCTCAGACATCTCACACATCTTTGAGGGAGATTGTGGTTCAAGTCCCCAGCTTGTCAAGTGACACAGAGAGCTCTGTAAGCTGATAGAAGAAACCTTTGACCTCAGCTTCACAGAGCTATTGGTTGCAGTTTCTATCATGTAGAATTTACTGGGAAAACAGAAGTTAAATGTGGTTGACTTTAGGGCCCCTTGAGTAAAGGGAGGACCTAAGGCTCCCAGACTGAATTATCAAATAAATAACCTAACAGAAAATAAAGTTCATGACTCAAGAAACAGGGGGTAGGGAACAGTTCCAAGTCACTGCACTGTTTTAGAAAGGAAAACCAGTTGGGGGTTTTAATCCTGCAGAAAATCTGCTCTTCTCATAGGCTTCGCTAAAAGCCTAAGAAATCAAACACACACACACACACACACACACACACACACACACACACACACACACACACACACGGTCAAGAGGTAGAGGGGAGAGGACAGGGAGATGGAGGAGTGTTTAACTTTCTATAGGGCTTGCTCAATTCCTGGGAGGCCCTTGTCACCGAGATCTGCTGCCCAGCAACCCAGATGCACCAACAGCCTCTAGAACACACAATAAGGCCCTGCACCCTCTTGCTTCAGCCAAACAGACCATATACTAGGATCTCTGGGCCACACAAGGCCAGAGCCTCTGTGCCTGGTGAAGGCATTCCAGTTTACTGACAAACATGCAAAGCTTAAAGTGACTGATCCTAGACTTAGGCATAAAAATCCTCATCATAAAATCCATACCTCCTAGCAGAACAGAGAGTTAGGACACTTTTAGAGGCAGTTGTTGCAAATGCAAAACCTAGCTTTTGTAATTAAGCTTCAAAGCATCGACTAGAAATTAACATAGAATTATTTCAGAAAGCAGCTATAAAAATCAAGAACAGGAATGTGAGGCTTTCAGCTGTTTTCCATCCACAGAAACAAACCTTCCTGGCAAGTGAATGCAGGCTAGTCTTGATATTCTGCCTGGCAATTTTGGGGGGGGGGGGGTGGTGGTGGTACTTCCCATTTTTAAAAGGACCCCCCACTGAAACAACCCATTTCTCCTCTGAACACACTTAACATATTTTTCTTTTGCAAAAGTCCCAGAAAGATGTTTTCCAGCCCGGCAGAATCAAATCCACTTCAAAACTTCCAGAAGTTTTGAATCCTGTTCCTATTCTCTTATAGGATACTCTTTAAGAACCAGAACACACTAGCCTCAATCCATCAAAGTTGGACGCCTCAGCCGAATGCCTTATAATGCTAACCAAGTATGTTGGCTTTTTTTTTTTTTCGTTTTTCTTCCCAATCAAAATCCGACCCTCACTCCCCCGACTTAAATATGTTTTTCCACATATGTTTTCCCTCCCGGTCCACCTGGCCCCTTAAGATAACCGAGACTTAAGGAGGTTGCATATTGTAAAAGTGCCCAGCGACAGAGCAATGGTAGTGAGGTCCTTCAGCCTCCAAGTTGCACTCACCCAGGCTCAGCAACCAGAGTGCAGCC